TCTCTGTCTGTGTCTCTCTCTCTGCCTCTGTCTGTGTCTCTTTCTCTGTCTCTCTCTGCACAACTGTTGAATTTTCAGCTAGATTCAGGAGGATTCTTGGGAATCCTAAATTCTAGCTCCCCTGAGAACGCATGTTGTCTACCACCCAAATTTGCCATGTGTCAGAAAGAGTTTTCAGGAACTACTATAAAGGACACATGGACAAAACCAAGGGGGAGGATGGAAGCAAGGGAGGGAGGTGGGTGTGGATGGGGTGGGGGAGGGATGGGGAGAAAATACGGACAACTATAATTGAACAACAATAAAATCATTTAAATTAAATAAATAAAGAAAAGAAAAAAAAAGAAAGGCACTGCTTTGGCAGCTTGAGAGCAGTCTGTGTAAAGTGAGTTGAGGGTGCTCAACCCAATCCCACACAACTGAGGTCCAGGTCACAGATCACCTGTACTGGTGACAGCTCAGGGCTCAGAGTGTCCCCATGAGGCTTAGGGTATGGCAAGACAAGCCAGGGCAGGGAGACCCAGGACCCTGGGAACAGACAGAGCCCAGGAGCAGAGCTCGTGAGGGAGGAGGGTCTCAGAACAAGCGACTGGTTTGGAGGGTCCACGGGACGCAAAAGGAAGAAGATCCAGGAGGGGGCCAGCTGAGGCTTGGTCAGAGGACAGGGAAAGACCAACTAGCCAGTGAAGTAAGCCACATCACATCCTTTCAAGAATTCGTGGTGGTCTGGATAAACAAATACAGAGACATACTAAAAATTAAAATTATATGTGGGAGTTTAGAAATTATAAGATTGGATATCTAGTCTCACATTTACCCTTACAGATTGTGTGACCTGAGGCAAATCCCTTCCGCCTCACGCAGCATACAGGCAGCTCTGAACAGAGACAACGCCTGTCATGCCTGTCGCACGAGACTGTAAGGACTTGATGAAAGGACAGGTGTGAAAGCAGTTGACGAAGACTTGACTATGAGCTCTAGCACTGTGACACGGGCCCCTTTTCTCCTTTGTTGCCCTCCTGGGGGAAGCTCTTCCACCCTGGAGAGAGGTCGGCAAACACCTGGGCGGGAGAGGATCGGGATCTGTGCAGTATTTACAATGAAAGCCCCTTCCTGCCATATTCCAGTCTGCTGCTGTCTCTCCCACACCCACAAACACACACTGGGAGTCACACCTGTAGTCCGACAGTATTTTCAACCATTCCATCATCCACAAGATATTTGATTATTGTAAGTTGAAACTGGAAGCCTGGAGAACACACGGCCCACAGATGTGCTCTGTGCTCTCTTGGGCCTACAGTGCGGCCTATACAGGGTATTCCTCCACCAAAAGGTTTATTTCTATATATAAACAAACCTAATATATATATATATATATATATATATCCTCTCCATTTTTAATTTTTTAAAATCAGTAAATTTACATAAAAATTGAATTTTCTAGCTTCTCTTGAAAAGTCAAAAGACCTAGCAACACCAGATCCAAATCCTCCTGAAGCAATACTCGCTGCAGGGAGCATCGGAATCACAGGGAGAGACGGCCAAAACAAAGGCTGCAGAACCCCATACCCAGGGTTTCTGATTCAGTGGGTCTGGGATGGGCTGAAAATCTTCACCTCCAACAAGTTTTCAGGTGATTCTGGTGCTGCTGGTCCAGGGACCAAACTTTGCTAGATCGCTGCACGGCTGCTCCTGTCAGATAGGGGTGCACACTCCATTTGCCACAACCTCCCCCACCTCCGCCTCCTACTGTCAGTGACACGGTATCTGTTGTCATTTATCACGCTTACTTTGCTGTTTTCTTACACGTGCAAAGCCACTGAATGTGCCCGGTCTCCTAGATATTTGAGCTGGCAACCTCTGCTACTTGAGGGCAAGAGCTCTACCTTCCTTCTTCACTCCCTTTCCCTCTGCCCCACCTCCGTCTCCCAGGGCGTACACACCCACCATCCCACACGCTATCTTTCACATAGCATCCAAATATTTTAGCTGATTTGAATTCCTGCATAAAATCCGATCCCTTCAGGGCCTGAGCTTGAAGGGCAGCAATGCTTTTAAATTAGGAGCTGGTTTAATCCTCCTTCCCCTTGTCTATGAATCCAGATTAAGAGCAGGCCCCTGCTGCTTTCAAGGTCAACTGGGAAACAAAGAAGAGGCTGATCATTGCACAGTGGGTTTCTCCTGAAACCCACTTCTTCTGCCTAGCTTCTGAGCCCCCAAATCCCCTAAAATTAGTTACCACCTAGGAATACTGATAAATGGACAATGAACAAACTGCCTTCACTAACTGGTCTTGTGACTACCCGTCTGAGGGCAGGGCTCAGGCCTGGTTGGTAACTCTAGGTCCCTTTCAACTTTCTTTTCGATGAGCACAGTAATGAAGACTTGGAACAAATTCTGTACATATTTTGAAACCACCCAAATGCAGGCCAGACTCTTCTCCCTAGTGTCCACCCCCACCCATGCATGCTCTATGTTGGATCCTTGGTCCTGAGCCATGGTTTGTGTAAAATGAACTAAAATTTAATTTCCACTGAGAGTTTAAGTGTTTCTCTTTTCAATAATGAAACATGGGCAGTTTATTCCAGAGACTCTGTAAAGGATTCTAGTCTTTAAAGCCAAAAAAGTTAATCCTTCTTTTATGGGCTGACAGCAAATGAAAAAAGGTTGTTTTGCCAAGAGGAGTACCAAGATAATTTGTGAAGGCCTGACATCATTGAAATATTCTTGAAAGGTGACCAAAAAGGAAGAAACTTCTAAATTAACTGTTAGAAGCCGACCTGCACTGTCAAAAAGTGGCCTCAGAGCTATATTGCTTTCACTTGCATTTTATGGAAAAGGGCCCTGAGGCTTAGAACAACCTCCTCAGAATTACACACCATCAAAGACAGAGTCAAACTCACTCTCAAGCCCACAAGCTCCCCATTACCAATTTATCTTCACCATCCACAGTTCTTGTACCAAGAGCAATTCTCCCCTCTAAACTGCCTCGGAAAAGCTTAAGAACTCTGAGGCTGACGATGACCCCAAACTCAAAACATAAAATAGAAGAACCCATGGTGATTCTCCTTAAAACCAGAGCAAAGACAGGCAGACACACTTTCATAAGTGACAAGTGACACCCAGGCCAGAAAGGCTTTGCTTGAATGCAGTAACAAGTCCCAAGAAAGAAGAGTCCTGGGAAGGAGACTGGGAAGTGGCAGCAAAGGCAAAACAGCCTTAGACAAAGTTACCAATGCCCATCCGACACCCTCCAAGGACAGTAGTGGCTAGCTGACCAATCCTTAATGAAGAGAGTTGCCTGAAACCTGTTAATCTGAGGAAACCCAAACGCCATGGAAAAAAAAAATACCAACAATTAAGCATTTGGCTCTGGTTGGGGTGGCTCAGTGGACTGAGTGCTGGCCTGTGAACCAAAAGGTTGCCAGTTTGATTTATGGTCAGGGCACATGGCTGGGTTGTGGGCCAGGCCCCCAGTTGGTGGCAGACCAGAGGCAACTGATTGATGTTTCTCTTCTTCTCTTTCTCCCTCCCTTTCTCTCTCTCTCAAAAAATTAATAAATAAAAATAAATAAATGAATAAAATCTTTTAAAAAATTAAGCATTTCTATAAAGGATGCCTTACAAAAATCAAAAGGTGAATGAACATTTGAACACATCCAAAAACAGGGCTAACATTACTACTACAATAAACACCCCTCCCGTAAAATGAGCAAAGACAAAACCCAACAGAAAAAAATAAACAGGAGTGGAAATGAATAGACAAATCATGGAAAAGGAAATGCAAATATCTCTAAAATGCACAGAAAAATTCTCAACCTCACCCGTACTCAGGAAACATGCAAATTAAATCAAAGGTGCACTGTTTTTACTAACACAGTGCCAACTCCCCCGCCCCCAAATATCAGTATCATGAGGACTAGTGAGAGCATAGGGAAACAGATACTGTCCCACATTTCTTGATGTGGAAGGTTGCCACATAACCCTTGGAACATAGCCTGGCCGTGTATAATAAAATAAATATGGCCTCTGATCTCAAATCCCACTTTGGAGAATTACTGAAGCCTTTTAAGTAGTGGCAAAAAATAAATAAAAAGCCTCCACATTCATCAATAGGAGAGAATGTCTGAATACATTTTGGACATCCAAATGAATATTATACCGTTATTTAAAAGGCCAAAAATTACTTTATTTGAGAGATAGTAAAAGGCAGCGGCCAGCAGCATCAACTGGAGAGCCACACTGCCCAATTCAAACTGCTGCTCCGCAATCATTAGCAGTGCGGCCTTTGGCAAGTCTACCACATCTCAGTGCCTCATCCACCCAATGGCGCTAACAGTACCTACCTCATCTGGTACTAGTGCGGTAAACGAGATAGACCATGTGCCTGGCATCTAGCAGGTACTGGAACGCTATCCATGACATTGTTTGGGAGGAAGAAGGGGAGAACTGTACTTATTGCACAGCACAAATCTAGTTTAGTTAAAAGAATACATATTTTAAAGCACACTGTGTATGTATGTGTGTGGTGCTAAGAGGAAAGGAGAAAGTTTTAACTTTTTCTTTGTTCATCTCTGTGTTGTTAGACTTGTTGCAAAGAACATGTACTACTTCCGTAGTTTGAAAGAACAATCCAATAACAATGTTTGGAAGTGGGGTGGGTGAGGGTGCTAGCAGGAGTCGGGGATAGAAAATATACTTTTAAAATTCATGTGGGGAAGTAGAATGGAAATACGAATTCAAAGAGAAAAAAGAATAAGGTAAAATTTAAAAGTTGATGATGGTGAGTATTCAATTTTTGTGGGATTTAATTTCATGAAATGTATGTTTAAGTGGCACAGCCCTTTTTATTGTAAAATATTCATATTTATATTATACCAGAAATCTTTTGCAACTAAATTCAAGACAAAAAAATTTATGTTAATTTAGAAATTATTTGGGAAAGGTATATCTATCAGCAAAAATGTATGAAGACTATTGTCTAAATTCTTTCAGCTTACCCGCTGAGATCAGCTTCAGATATGGTATCCCTCCTGGGTATGAAGTCAGGAGTCAGTTAAGGTTGTCCTGCTCCCCTCTTCATAAGGCCATTTCTCGAACACTGATTTCACCTCTTTTGGGGGATCTCCTGGGGCCACTGGAAAAGCAGATTTTGTTCGCAGGATGCCCTGAATGAGCAAGAACAACACACCAATTAAATCAGCTCTAATGCTATTTGGAACTCAAGGCTATATATAGCACAACCTGTCCCATTGCTATGTCAAATTATGTCCCACTACCTTATTCAATATACTCAGAAGTTCTAAAAGAAGAGCAAATGAATAACATAAAAATACAATAAAAATTAAGAGCTAAAAAGATGGTCTCAATTTGATTACGAACCCTCCCAACATGAATTTTTCAGGGAGAAATGAAAAGTTCAGAGATCAAATTATCTTGTTCTAAATTATAGCCTGACATAATCAGTTCCAACATGTGTTAAAGTCCAAAATTATTAATGTCCAACATTGAACTCTCTTGTTCGTGTGACTTACAGTTCAAATAGAGGTTTTGTCACTCCCTGGCAGTGAACTCAGCTCCTGAAACTGAAGCACCCCTTCCCCAGGAAAATCTCTGTCTTTCAGGCTGATCCCAGGCTCCCCAGGCATGGGCAGGCAGGCCCCTGTGAAACTGGCGGCATGAAGCAGCAGAGCAGAAAGCACACTTTCTGTGGGTGGCCTGGCTTCCATGAGAACGGAGATAGGAAGGAAGAAAGTGGGTTGCGCGTGCCAAACTTACACATTAGGGAACTTGCTAGTAGTACTGGAATAGAGGATCAAGTGTCATGTTAGTGGCACCCGCTCCGTACTTCAAGAAACATCTGACGTGGGAAAGAAGTGTTTCCCCCTAAAACAGGGAAATAGAACAGGATTACAAGAAACAGCCTCTCATATTTGAGAAATATTGAGTTCAATCTTCTGAGCTAGATTTGTTGAAAGATTCATAAGTGAAGCATAGCTGGATGCTGCCTACCAACCAACCACTAACATTTGTAACGTATCCATATCCGTGAATGTGACATACTTTAGGGTTTTTGTTACAGCAGTGCTTTACATCTGCTACCAATTTTTGTACTACTGTAGATCAGGCTTCGTTTGCGACCAAACAACCCCAAATATCTCAACGACTTAGAACGGCATAGATATATTTCTCATTCATGCTGCCATGTGTGTTAGCCGAGGGCTCTTATCCACTTTGTCCTGACTCTAGGGGCATAGCTGATGGAAGGAGCCACCATTTCAGATATAGTTGGTATGATAAAGAGACCCACAAAAATTCTTTGTCACTCTTCTCCCCAATTTTCATCAAGAGGTAGAGTTTATGTCCCCACTCTGGAAGGGGAAAGGCTCAGCCATTCTAGCAACCCAGTTGAGCCTCCAAATTACTCCAGCCCCAGACAATACCTAGCTGGAACCACATGAGAGACCCCAAGCAAAACTAGGCAACTGCCCATAAGCCCATTCAACCTATAAAACCATCAGAGATAATTAAATGGTTACTGTTTTAAGTTACTAAGATTTGGGGTGCTTTATTATACAGCAATAGATAACTAAAACATTCCATCACTGTGTCAAAAGGAGACACTGAGAAGTTGCACACGAGTTCTTAAAACTTTTGCTTGGAAGCGACCCAGATCACTTCTAGTTCATTGGCCGTGCTGAGTTCAGAGGAAGAGGGGAACGGAAGTCTACTATGTATGTGGGAAAGCAAATGAAAATATTTGGTGACTAGCATTTATATTTCCCAGAGAGAGGAAATGGCTAGAGAGGTATATCTTCCATAAAGATGGTAAGTAAATCACTAAGTAGATGAAGTCTCAAGGGAAAATGAGTAACAAGAGGAGAAAAGAATGTAAATGATAAGAGATGCTTGTAGATGACCTCCTGACAAGGAAGGCTGGATCTAAGGAGGAAAAGGAAGGTGGAAGAGTCAGGAGGCCAAAGAACTTACATGTATAACCCATGGACATGAACTGTGAGGCGGGGGTGAAAGCTGGAGGGTGAGGGGGGCAGTGCAGGGGGGTGGGGGAGAAAGGGGAGAGAAAAACTGGGACAATTGTAACAGCATAATCAATAAAATATACTTTAAAAATAAAAAAAATATACTTTCTTAAAAAAATCTACAGAGGCAAAAGGAGCAATCAGGATCCAAAGAAGAGCATAAAAGGCTAAAATTGGTGGTATAGGCAAGGAATGCATAGAAATTCAAAGAGATCAGTGTGGGCTGGTGTAGTCACAGGCATGGGGCAGAGGTAGTATTAGAGAAGGAACTGGAAGGTAACAGAATTTGGCTTGTTGAAGAGAGAAGGGTGCCCTCTGCCAGGAAACAGTGTGAGAAAATTCTTGGAATGGGGAATGAACTCAGCAGTTGAGGGGAACAGGACTAGGTATTGTCAAGGGAAACATACCACTGCAGTAGAGGGTGTGTCAGGAGTAACAGAAAACGTGGGTTAGCTTTGCTGAGGCAGGACAGGCCAGGGAAGCCGTTTGTGGATTTATGGAGGCCTTTGAGTGCCCACTGAGATTTCTGAGTTCTTTCCTTTAAATAGCCAAGCATCACTGGAGACAGGTGTCTGCGTAAAGGAAATCAGCATATAGGACTAGTTCCTTCATGTGGGAATGAGGGAGGGAAAGACAGAGTAGGCCACCCGTCAGCCAGTTACTGCAGTAGTCAAAGGAATACCCTACTGCAAGAGATCGGATCAGGGACCCTAGAAGGAGAGTAAGTTGCTCAGAGGACAAAAAGGATAACACATAAAAAAGGAAGGGCTTTAAGTGTGGAGAAGCTGAGATATTTATTTAATCTCAGGGTGTAAAAGAAAACATCTTTTATTCCCATGGCAGACAGTATCGGTTACCTACCCAACATTCTCCACCCTGCTTACTTCCTTGAAAACAGAAGTTCAGTACTGCCCAGTTACTCTCTTCCCTCCAAAACAATCAGGGAAAAGAAACCTACACGCTCATAATTCAGCGTGTAGGTAATCCAAGGTAAATCTTGTTTGGTTTAAGCCCACCAGTGGTTCTCAACCAGTATCAACTCTATAGGGAGTGTGTGTAGGGTGGAGCGGAAGAGGTTTTTTGTTTGTTTGTTTGTTTGTTTGTTTTTGGTGTCACAATGCCTGGAGTGCACCACTGATACGTAGTGGAAAGGAACCAACAATGCTAAAGGTTGGGTAATGCACCCCAAAGTCTTCTATGAAAACTGCTAAAAGCTGCGTAAACACCAACTAGTCAGGGCAGTCCCATGCTCTCTGTCAGTTACTGTTTGACAGAATAGCTAGCTATTAACCCAGTTCTGGTCAGTGAGATACAAGGAGTGGCCTGCTACCAGAGGGGACCAAGAAAAACCAGAATTATCTTCTGGAGGGTGGACCCCTCGTAGTATTCCCTTGCTAGCTGAGTGTTCTAGGAACCCATCTGAATCAGTGGGCCAGCTGTGGTTGCTGACAGGTTGTGCTCAGATTCACTGAAGTTTTTAAAGGTTTTTTTGAGGGTCATCATTTCACGATGGGTGACTCACAAACGCACCTGCCTATATCACCCTGAGTGTTCAGCAGTTTTTGACAAAACACAGCATGGCCTCCGTGCCCCACCCTCCCTATTCACCCGATCTCACCCTGACTTTTTTTTTAGTTTCCCCAATGAAAAAAAGTCCTCAAGGGGAAATGTTTTGCTAATGTGGAAGAGATGAAACAAACAAACAAACAAAAAAGGCAGAAGCACCAAAAGGCATCAAAATCGACAAATTCGAAACTGTTTTGAGTGGTGGAAAGTCTCGATAGGTTTGTTGCAGCAATTGGAGAGTACGTTGAAGGTGACTGAGGTTTAAACATGTAAGAACACACAGTTTTTAATAAATAAATTCTGTTTTTTGCCCCCCCCAGTATAAAGCCTCTGGGGTGGTTTCCGCTGGTCGATGTTGTCCCAACTGTATGACACCTTGAACTGCTACAGCCATCTCCTCCCCAAAACCAGTTCCTTCCCAATCTCCCTGTTTGCATCACTGGCACCATTTCTTGTTATCAAGTCCTAAGGCAGTTTTGACTTCTAACCCTTCACCTTAGGATGACCCCTCATTCAGATGTGCCTGGGATAGCAATGTGCTCCTGCTCCTGTTCTCCCACTGTAATTAATAGTGTCCCCTTACACTTTGAAAAGTATTACTGATTGGAGGAGGTTAGATTATACGGCCACTTACGTATCCCCAATTAAAAGCAGTTCACTCTGCCACGAGGAAATACCTCTAAAGCAAGAATCTAAAGCAAACTATGGCCTGGGGGCTGTTATTGTATCTCCAGGGAGGAGGAAAAAATGTTTTTACATTTTTTAAATGATTGAAAAAAAATCAGTAGAATGATACCGCGTGACACCCCAAATTATATCAACTTAAAATCTCTGGGTCCATAAGCCAGGTTTCACTGGAACCCAGCCACGCTGATTCCTCCAGGGCCGCTTTCTCACTACGAGGCAGACCTGACTCGTCAGTCCTTAGCACGACTCGCGCTCGGCCCTGTATAAACAGCTCGCGGACCCATGCTCCAACGCCATCACTGAGTTTGATTTCCCTCACCTGTTGCACAACTACTACCACTGACTGGTTTCCCACTCCTTCCCCCACGCCACTCAGAGTTCTGGTCCCGTCCTTCGCGCTTTCGTTATCCTCAGTGGCTCCTGCAAAACCGCCAACAGACGGTCCGCACCCATCCCTACCACTCACTCCTACAGGCTGCAACGCGTCCCCAGACGGCGCCCCTCCTCTCTACGCAAACGCCCACCGCGCCGTCTTCGTCCCTCTAACAGCCCTCACCAGCGCCTTCCGTGCGCCCCCACTGCTTGCCCGGGTCTCCCCTCCGCTCCGTCGGGGCGTCAGGCTAAGGGGAACTGTTACTGCCCCGGTACACCTTCGTGCACCCATCACGCCGGAAGTGCACGGCAGGGAGTTGCGGGGGGCCGGGGTTGGTGTGCGGTGGGTGACTCGGCGACACCAAGAACGCACACCTGGGCCGGAGCCAGCCCGGCAAACCAGTGTCTGAGCTGAGGGGCCCTTAATGAGGCTTCGGAGGTGACCTTTAGGCCGGAATCTTAAGGGCTTAACAGGACAAAACTCGAGCAGCACCACTTCATCCCACGCACTCTTCGGACACCTGAGAGAAAATTCTTCAGCAGCCGTGGCCAAAACCACCAGGGAGTGACTGCGCAGTGCCAGCGCTGGCAGCCCGTGCCTTTCGGGCGCCCCAACCGCCCCGGCGCGGACTCCGTGCACTCCCCCCGCGTCGGGAGACCGTCTGGTCGCCAGCACTTCTGGGCAGCAGCTTTGTGTGCGCGCCCACGTTCCTGGCTTCCGGACAGGCGCGACGGAGCCCAGGGGAGAGAGCCAGCCCTCACCAGTTTGTGCGAGCAGATAAACTGTCGCGGCGGCCCACATGCCACCAGCCGGCGCCCTCAGAAAGGTGCCCCAGCCACGCCCCACCTCCGCCCGCAGCTTCAAAGCACGTGAAGCTCCTGGGCGGAGCGACGGCAAATAGGCGGGAGTTTGCGGACGCGTACCTAAAGGCTGGGAAGGGAAGCAATTCCGGCGCGCACGCGCACACCGAAGGGACTGGGCGAGCGTGCCTCCGAAAGGGGATACGGGAAAAAGCAGAGCGCGTGGCGCTCGAAGACCTGCGCACGCGCCGTGGTCTCGCCCCGCCTATGCGCGCGCGCGCGCGCGGCCGGCGCAGGATTTTTTTTTCTTCAGTTCCGCCCCACACTTCCACTTAAGCGAGCCAGGGCGAGAAATGAGAGCAGGGAAGTGTGGGGCGAGGTGGGCGGGGCGTCACTTCAGAGCGCGGCCAGCTAAAAAGGGGAGCGGAGGGAGATCCTAGACAACGTTACCCCGTCAACACCCAATCCGGAGCCGGCATGACCCCGCCCCCTTCCCTCATGTTATTGGCTGGGAGGCCCGGAGATGGGAGGGGCGGCCGTGGGGTTGGGGAGGGCAGGGGGCGGGGACGAGGAGGAAGGTGCTGGCGGGCCGTGATGGCGGCTGGTGATGGGGACGTGAAGCTAGGCACCCTGGGGAGTGGCAGTGAGAGCAGTAGCGACGGCAGCAGCGGGAGCCCGGGCAGCGCGGGAGCTACAGCAGAAGGGGGAGGCTGGGTGGCAGCGGCGTTGGCGCTTCTCACGGGAGGCGGGGAGATGTTGCTGAACGTGGCGCTGGTGGCGCTGGTGCTGCTGGGGGCCTACCGGCTGTGGGTGCGCTGGGGGCGACGGGGTCTGGGCGCTGGGGCAGGGTCGGGCGAGGAGAGCCCCGCCGCCACTCTGCCGCGGATGAAGAAGCGCGACTTCAGTTTGGAGCAGCTGCGCCAATACGACGGGTCCCGCACCCCGCGCATCCTGCTCGCGGTCAATGGGAAAGTCTTCGACGTGACCAAAGGCAGCAAGTTCTACGGCCCTGGTAAGGAGGAGCTGGAAGGGGAGGGGAAGGTCACCCCTTGCAGCTCAAGTGCTACTCCTTTTTGATGAAGAGGTCTCTGGGCCCCGGGTTAGTTGGCTCAGCCTTCTCGAAGTGTGGACCTCTGTGCCTTGGCTGCGGCACCTGGGACTGTCCGCCCCGCACACACCCCCAGCCGCGGGCACCTCCGACTTACCCCCTAAAGTCGGGGGCCGGGCCCAATGTTGCCTCAGGAAACAGGTCTCAGCTTTCATCTTCATCCCATCCCATTTCTCGCAAAAGGAATTTTTCAAAATCCTTTTGGTTGTCGTCAGCCAGTCTGGCCCCTCCAGCTTCTCCGAGCTGTCTCATTCCTGAGATGGGTGGGGGCAGGGGAGGTTTCTAAAGGAGGGACCTCAGGTTCTAGGCCCTGTATTTCAGTTTCCCTTTCTTTACTCTTTTTGCCACCGATCTCCCTTTTCCCACTACTACTCCCCGTAAGGCCACGTTTTAATACACGTAGTTCCAAGACCCAACCCTCTAGTCTGAAGCCTGGGCATATAACCAACATCTCTGACTTTTTTTTTTAAACCAGTTTTTGTATGGAGATGCTTTCCAAGATTAACACTGTATGTGGGATGGGGACAGACCAGAATGCAGATGTTAAGAAAGACTAGCAAGGGTATTTGCCCGAGTTTTGGGGGTGGAGCTCATATACTCAGCAGGCATGTCAGTCTAGTCTGGTCTCTCTTTTTGTAGTAGGAAGGCAGGTATTCAAATACACGTGTATAATGACTTACTGTGTTTTCACAGAAGAGAAGAAACTTAAATAAATTCATACTCCCCAGCAGTTCTTCAAGTTAAACACATTTAGAACTTTGCTTTCAGAGAACTGGGTGTGCAGGGTCGTTGGTGTAGAAGCCCCTTTTACTGTGTAGTTACAGCATACATTTCCGATCATGCTAATAAAGGTTCAGTTCAGACTCATGGATCCTGTTGGTGTACCATAAAATCGAGCAATATTGTACATCCTGGTTGTGTAGTAATTAATTCTAAGCTTTAAAAAAGTGACTCCAATAAAAAATAAGTAATGAAATTAGAGATCTAGAGTGAGTTCTTCAGAAAGAGTACATCCAAACCTTGGAGTCAAGGGTTGGCGGCCAGTCTTCAAGACAAGTTGGTTTCCTCTTTGATTCAGTCTGTTGGTGCATGAGGTTCACTGACACTTGCAAATATATACTTACAATTTTAGTGCTTGGTGGCTGGAAAATAGTTTACAAGTGCTCTGGTGTGTTGTTAATTAGAATAGAGATACAAAATTTGAGGTTTATGTATTGAACGATTTCTTAGTTGCTTGTGTTTTTGTGCGTGCACTCATGTGTCTACATTCAGCTTTAATCTTTGATGGCTTATAAAGTATTTTGCTTCTTGTTATATGAATGGGAAAAACAGATGGTTTGTGTCAGCTGAAATGGTTAATACATTCTTGTTTACGTAAGAGCATGTGAGACAATAGGGCCAAAGTACAGTATTTAGTTGTACAGACCAAATTAAATATAGTAAAAATCTTATAGTAAGGATTTATACAGTATTTTGTACCTAAAATTTTTCCCTATTGATATTAAAATGTGTGTTCAGTGATTAGAAACTTAGATTTTTTAATATAGAGCTTACCCAACCAAAAGATCTGCCTTTGTAGCCCCTGTCTAAGCTGACAGTGAAGCAAACAAAGTTTTAGTGCAAAGAAGCGTATTTGTTCTCACATGCTATGCCTTGCCACTATCTGAAAATAGCCAATCATCATAGACACCGTTTGGCAGCTTCTAGTGGCAAATGTTCTGCCACAGAAATTAAAAATTAAGATAAGAGTCATAGGTGTAATGTAGATAGCCTTTGTGTGGCTTCAGCAGCAAGGGGACTCCTCAGATAACAACGGAGAAGTCAGTTTAGGTTAGCCTCCACTAATTCCCGGGTCCTGATGGACAGTCTGGAGCGACAGTCAGTTATTTTATTCTAGGTATTTATTGATCGGCAACCTAATAGAGCTGTTTAGAGTATTTTGTTATTGAAAGGAACTGTAAAGGTAGTTAGAGCACCTTATGGGCTTGGAATATGTAAAAGCTGTAGCACTTTGCAAAAGTCTTGAAGGCGAATTTCTGGCTGTGAAAGAGATATAAGTTCAGTTTTTGTTTTAATTTTTATTTTTATTCTCAAATCAATTAAGCAGTTCTGCAGCAGAACAGTTGAGAAGTAATACTTATTTGAGAATCTTAGTAGCTTGAAAGAATGAGCTAAGGGCACCAGAACACCTGTGTAGTTTCTATGCTTAGCCAATACCTACTTCCAGTTTACAATAATGGTTTTAGAGTTAAAGATTGTTTTCTGAGGGTGTTTTTTCTATGTTAAAGGTACTTTTTGGGGTCATTTTAAAAGTTCGAGATCTTAAAAAAAATAAACACTGACAACTTAGTGGATAAGCACGTTGGCAAACAGTTGACATTAATTACATTTGTTAATATTAAATTTAGTAACAGTTCATGCACTTGGTCGGCACGTGAGGAAAGCTGTCATGTGAGAACCAGTAAATGTGGGAAGAGAAAGGACACCAGATATGTTAAGCACCTACTGTTCAATACACCAGACCCATGAACTTGACATCTGCACAGTGCCTCGGTGAGGTTAGGGGGTATTCCTGTCCTCCCGATGGGAGATCTGAAGCTTTGGTAAATGGGCCTGGTTCGCATAGACATGCACTCAAATGCAGATGTATTTGACCACAAAGGCTATTTACACTACTTCAGGTAAACTGCTTTTTGGGACAAACCTGCAGAGAATCTGTCTTACTGTTGTTTTTTCATACCCTCTACTGGTTCCCATAGGAATTTAAAGCCTCCGAAGAAACACACTTTCATGGCTTAATGTTGTTCTGAACTGTATGGTAGCCACACGCCTTCTAAATTAATTAGATTAGAATATTGTGAATCGAGTTATTCAGTTGTACTAGCCAATTTCAGGTGCTCAGTAGCCACACGGCTACCATATTGAACAGCGCACACTCTCGGGTATTCCCATTTCTGAAGATGTTCTCATTTTACAAATGTGGAAATAAACTTAAGAGAGGTTTTGCCCAAAGTCACATATTTAGTTAAGTGGCAAAGCTGGAAATCAAGCCCAGTGTAATTGGCTTCATTAGCCATCCCTTCACATTCTATCACAACATAATTTCACAGATTTCCAGGGTCCATAGATTCAGAAGATTCAAACAGTTAATTTTAAATAATTTGATTTAATATTACTGCAGTGGAACGCTACTACAAACAGACTTTTTGTTCTTTAGGATGGCAAAAGATCATACACAATTTACCTTCCTCATTGTTTATCCCATGTTTCTGAAATGCATATATATTACTTCCCCCTAATTCTGTGTAAAGACTTGATATATACCAAATATGTATTTTCTTCAACTTAAAAATTTTTTTTTAATTTACTGATTTTAGTAAGAGAAACATTGATTTGCTGTTCTACTTATTTATGCACGCATTGGTTGATTCTTGTGTGTGCCCTGACTAGGGATCAAACCCACACCTTGGCATACAAACAACTCTCTAACCAAGTAAGCTACCCGGCTAGGGCTCGACTTAACTTGTAAATTACATTGGAAAGAAAAATAAGTCATACGTGAGAAGTACCTGATGAGATTTCTAATACTTGGGAGGTTGGCGAAAGGAATACATGTTCAAGTGTTTTTCTTTTTCTTTTTTTTTTTGAACTTTATCTTCAATATGTTCACTTAGAGTTTGCAAAATTGCAGTCGAAGCAAGACTTGTACCACACAGACCAGGCCCAAGCTGACCTACTCCTTCCTGGGTGTCCCATCGACCAGTCCCCAGTCCTCATCCCAGCTTCTTGCTTTGCAGCCATCTGGGTCTGTTTTTAAGGCTTAATGCCCATTCACATCCATCGCCTACCAATAAGATAAAAGGGTCAGCTTTGTTTTCTGATGAATTTTAATAGTCTGCTCCAATGTATACTAGTTTTCTCTATAATACCTACTTGGTTGGCTCCTCTGAATTTAAAGTCATTCTGTTGTTTTTAATCTTTGAGGGAATTATATTTGTGTTAAATACTGTCACAAATTTAAAAAAGGATAGTTTAAAGCATGTATGGAGGCACAAGATGTTACTAAAGCTGGAAGAAAAGAGCAGGTTTAGTAACATCTGGAGTTAGCCATTCACATGCTTTCAGCAGTGCTCTGTCTGTAAGATAGCACACTCCTTGCCACTCCCACACCCATGACAGGCATCACTGTACTCTTAGATCCTGCATCTCGTCTCAGGATTTTTAATATAGGATCTCAGATCCATTTGAAAATACTAAGAAGGAGTTGCCTGGATTGCATTACAGTGCTGCTTTCTGGTTTTCAGATTTGGCTTTGGCCATTGTTTGATTAGTATTACCTCTGTATTTCTTTTTTCGTCATTTTACTTTCAGCTAATCTGTATTATGTTTTATTTTTCCCTTATAAATAAATAGCCAATAGCTAGATTTTTTCCCATTGGATCTATTATCAACTCTATGTCTTCTAACATCTTAATTTGTCATTATTCGTTATTGAAATTTATTTCTGCCGTCTTATTTACTAATTTCTTTGTTATACGTTTCCTTGCCTTTTTCCCACTTTTTCTCCCCCTTCTTGGATTGATGTTTTTAAATTCCTTTTACTTTTTCTCCCATACTGATTTGGATATATTCTATTTCTATTCTTTTGGTGATTTCCTTAACTTTTTGCGAGAGACACTATTTCTTTTTTTTTACTTTATTTATTTTTAGATAGAGTGGAAGGGAGAAAGAAAGGCAGAGAAACATCAGTTTGTGAGAGAAACAATGATGGGGATACATCAATTGGTTGCCTCTCACACGTTCTCAACCAGGGACCTGGCCCACAACCTGGGCGTATACCCGATGGGGAATGGAACCGGTGACCTTTTGGTCCTCAGGCTGGTGCTCAATTTGGTTCACTGTGC